TGTGTATAATACAAAAATTATACAAGTTTTATACACTTTTTCAACTACTAAATATAAATAGTTTCTGGCGCAGGGTAAAAGCGATAATACCCCTGTCTAAATGTTTGTAGCTTTAAATACAGTCGCAAAAGTTTGATTAACGGTCCAAAAATTGCTATTTTTGTAATTTCTTCCCTATCAAAAGGCACGTAATTAGCGCTATCTACATTCGAGTGTTTTTCTCTTGATTTAGCTTTTTTCTAAAAGTCTTTAACTATAACATACAGAGTACTCCTATATTTGACTTAGAATTAGGTAAAATTTAGTTAACATTTTGTTAAGTACACATGTTATTGCTTACTTAATTTTATTAATTTTCATATTTCGTTTGTGTTTTAGTTTTATAAAATTTAATGTATTTTCACACATGTTAAATGTTTTTGCCTTTGTATTTTATTATTAGTCTTTTAAAAAATAAAATACTCAATCACAAATGATTGATCAAAAGCACATGAGTTATTCCAAGTGCTATTTGTAATCAGGGACATTATTTTTAGTCCTTTTGCTAAAATATAAATAAGATGCAATTTTTCTTTTTTTATGAAAAATTCCTGGGGAAATCCGCATTCGCTATCTTTCTGGTGCACGTTGGATAATCTGCTTAATTTATAATACTCATAAATTACACAAAAAATATAACCATACTAGGTAAGTCGGATGCGACGAGATCTGACCAATAAGATGTAATTTATCAAACGAAAAAAATGATTTCCCAAAAAGTGTGTGTAATAAATTTAAATAAAGCATGTAGGGAGTATTGAAAATAAATTTAAATAAATCTCTTTAATTACAACTCAATGCAAGCCAAAATATTTTTGCTCACAACCAAAGTCGAACTCTCGCCAACGACCCAACTTTAGGAAAGATGCACCTTGACCACTTTTGTTCCACAAGTGGCACTTTAAATATATATAGTTTTCGCCGAAGCTTGCGTGTGATTTACCATTACGAATATGATGAATATAGATCCGCCCCTAGAGAGGACAGTCCATAACTTCAAGTAAAATACGATAAATCTCGATTAGAACATTATAATAAAAATATTCTACATGTCAAAAAAAAAATTAATCCAAAAGATAATACTATAAGTACTCGTGAATGGACTTATCGACAATATCGTTCATCTCGATATTGGGCAACGAAACTCAAAACATCAAATCCCAAATCCTGTTTCTTCTTTTCTTTTATTTTGTCCTTTTTGTAAATGTAATTTCTTTGATTTTATGATCACAAAATAGAGAGGACAGAGGATCGGAGTACATGAGCGATAGAGAGAGAAAAATTCAAGGATTTTTTATTTTGTTAAAGAGATGAACTTCAAAATAAAGACGGAAATATAAAGATCTTTATAGTTTATGACCTATATTAGATTAGTTATAATTTTAGTTATCAGCTTACCAATAAATATTTATCATAGAGATTTACACGTAATTATTTTATCAGTGATTTGATTAAATAGATATTTTATAATGTTAGTGCACAGAATTTAAACTCACATGTCTTAATATTAGTAGGTTATATACGGTTTAATGTTTAATAGGAAAACAAGCCAAACCCCCGAACACCACAGTGGATGAAAACCTGGGTGATTGGTTTATTTAAAAAAAGAGAGAGAGAGAGGTACAGTAGTTATTATGAGTACACGCCTGTTTAAACTCTTCTATACGTACATATTTTCTGTAAAAATAATACTTGCACTATGATATGATTTTTTGAAGGGTCATATGGGTTCAAAGAGAAACTAATTGAAGTAAGAAAATAACAATTCATTCCATCTTGAACCACTAAAATTCTCATACAGAAAAAATATCATACGTTAGCTCGAATAAGTCGCTAACAAGATAGCATGGTATTTAAGTAGTAAAGGGTAGAGCAACGAGCTAATTGTTCACTATGTTACGAATCACACAACTGAATCTCGGAGATTTCTCGATTATTTTAAAAAAAAAAAAGTGCACATTTGTTAGTAGGTTTTGGGTTTTCAACTAACTTGATGGAGATGTATTGTGGAAACTTGAAAATTTTAGGTAGAAATCAATATATCTAATTTGATATGGTTGAAACTTGGATTCCATAAGTGGAAATATTATATATATATATATATCAAAGTTAGTTTATGATCATGTGCCAAGTAATTGGGCATGTTCGCTTGATGATCTACTTCTATCGTGGATGAGAGAAAGAACGCGGAATACCATTTACTAAAGGTCGACGTAGGAAGCGTGTGTTAAATTTGGGATTCGCCTCTACCTATAAAGTTTTGCATTTAATGCATCAATGAACAATTTTTCATTTTTCAAGAACAAAAATTATCAATACATAATATATCTTTCATATGATAATTATCAGGGGCGGCGCTAGAGTGTCGGAAACGCGTTCGGCCAAATTTAGTAGCTTTGGTTAGAATCTTGTATTTATTTTAAAAAATTACTAAATATGTATAAATTATTAATTTAAAATCCTATAATTTAAAATGATAACTCATAAACTTAAAATTTTAACTCTTTCTAATTGTAATACATCTTCCTATGAAGAAGAACACTACCAGTTTTAATTTTCTGTCACGTCATTGGCTTTTCGTGGTAGGGCATAGGGAAATGTATTTTTGTTGTTGTCCATAATTATTAAAAAGATAGTACTCCAATTCGTTTTAACTTTTTTTTTGTACAGAAAAGTACCATAAGAATAATTTGTGATTGATCTCAAGTTCAAAGCGAAGGCAAAAATACAACAACAACAACGATCCAGTATGATCCCACAAGTGGGGTCTGGGGAGGGTAATATGTACGCAGACCTTACCCCTACCCCGAAGGGTAGAGAGGCTGTTTCCAGGAGACCCTCGGCTCAAAAAGCAACAGGAGATGATATATTAGTACCATAAAAATGCGTAATAAAAATAACAACAATATATAAAAGATATGAAATATGAAATACAAGATACTAAATACGAACTACGAAATAGATGGCTGGTAAGTACAACTAGAAGGTAAAGCCCAGCATCGATAGACGACCAATGACATTCTTAGTCTAACTCCTAACTGGATACTAGTTAGGAATTTTGATCTCATTTGTTCAAGTTGTGATGGACAAACTTAATATTTATGCTGGTGGAAACTAACAGATACACATAAATTAGTTGAGTAAAATCAGACACGAACACTACGATTATTTAAAAATCAGATTCTAGTATTCATATATTCTGTTGCACTACTTCTATGAGAATTATCGCAAGACAAAAATGTACTTAATTCAAATAAAACCTAAGAGCATATACAAATAATTAAGGCTGTAAAAATAGTTAATGTATGAACTCCCTCAACTTTTTAAAAATGAATGAATACTTTAGAATCTGATTCTTTTTCGTGAAAAAATGTCACTTATCTAACTTGGAAACTCAGCTAATATAGACAATCTATAACAAACAAATAATAATAACTATGCTTCAGTTCCAAATAATAATTATTATTATAGATAGATTTTTTTTATAGCTATAGTTTACTATACCAGAGGGAAGTAAGTCAAGGGTGGTAAATGTATGGTAAATAGTTACATGCCCTCAGTGTTTATATTTAGTAGTGGAGCCAGATTATTAATTACGGGGGCAAAATATAAAGAAATAAACTCACCAAAAAGTCAAGTGTGTCATTATATAGATATTTTTAAAAAAAATAACCGAGCTAAAACTATAATTTTCCGACGAAGGAGTATCGATTGACATCCTTGAGTGCATGTGGCTCCGCCACTGTTTACCCAAAACCAAACAATTTAATTATAACAGTCACAAATTAAAGTGCAGATGCAAATCACCTAACCATAGTTAAGTGATAAATTATTTATATACAAGAGTAGTATTATGTACTCATTTGCTTATAAATACAACAACAACCCAGTATAATCCCACTTAGTGGGGTCTAGGGAGGGTAGTGTGTACGCAGACTTTACCCCTACCCTAGGGTAGAAAGACTGTTTCCAAATAGACCCTCGGCATCTATTCCCTCCAAGAACTTCCCACCTTGCTCTTGGGGAGATTCGAACTCACAACCTCTCGGTTGGAAGTGGGGGTTGCTTATAAATACTGAATACAAATAAGTTTTTATCATACAATATATCCATGTATATGTACCATTCGGGGTAGGGGTAAGATCTACGTACATATTACCCTCTCCAGACCCCACTTGTGAGATTATATTGGGTCGTCGTTGTTGTTGTTGTAATATATCCATGTATGATTACACGTATCATATTTCCAGAGGGAAAACTCTTGCATGCGTGAAACTGAATAATACGTAAAAATTTGGGTAAAAAGCAGAATAATATTCATGAAAAATAGTACATGATAAGAATGTCATGAAAAGAAAATTATCAAATCAAAACCCTAATTAAATGCTTATTTTAATTTTTATNTACCACCACCCCCACCCCAAAAAAAACATTAGGGTTTCATCCTCGGATCTCTCACAGCCACGCGCCAAACCTGGCCGCGTCAGCACGGACCACTCATATCTCTCTTTAAGTGCGTGCCACCTGTCTTCAGACAAGGACCATCCACTAACAAACCCCACACTCACTTCTAGCGCGTGTAAACACGCGTCACACTCATTTTTTTTACTAGGGTTTCACAGCATCACACTTGTCACATTCCCTTTGGTCAATACCTTTCTCTCTCCTCTGTCTATACACATGCAAAATCTCAATTAAAGTTAAATACACGTAATAATGAGTGTATATTATTATATAATTAACAACAAGGCTAATTTCAAGAATCAGATTAGATATAAAAAGTTAAAAACTTTAAATAAAACCTCAACACTCACTCATCTTTCCTATTCTCTCTCTACAACTTCATCTCAAAGCAAAAATATACCTAAAAAGGGTTTCGTTTTCATTTCGCACTCTCAATTCTTCTCATTTTTCTAAAAATTATTTCAAGAAAATTGTATAATTGGCTTCATTTCAGTTTCTTCTTTACAAAGATAGTCGCTTTATTATCAGCCGTGGAAAAAAATTATTCTGGGTTTTTGTGATCTGAGCTTTCGATTTTGGAGAAAGGTAAGTTTTTTCTATTTTTTTTTTAGTTTCTGAATTATTGGGTTTTTTTATTTAAGGTGATTTGATATCTGGGTTTTGTTTTTTACGTCATTTTTTAGCTGATTCTTTGGACATGAAATGATTCCCGTACGTTTTAAGTATTTCTTTTTTTTCTTCTTTCCCCTTTTTGGTTATTTATTTTTGTGTACTTCTTGGGTTTTATTTCCTTGTCTGTTTGTACTGTTTCTTAAGGTTGTAGCTTCGATTGCCTTTTAGGTTTATGCTTAGTTTATCGAGATAATTGGGTATTAGCAAAACCCTAATTTTGCTTGTGGATATTAATTTGTTAGATTTAGGTATAATTTTATGTGAATTATGGAACAAATGCATAAACCCTAGAATGGCTATAAATGATTGATTATGAAAATAGTTGATGGGAAAAGATTGATTTCTGTTGTCATTTAGATTAGGGTTTTAGCATTTGAATTTCATTAGAATTGCAGTCATGTGTTATTCTTTAATGTCGTGTCTTGGGTATTCGGTATGGTAATTATATTAGAATTTAACTGATATATACTAACAGTACAAATAATATCTACACCTACCTTTTTCCCATGTTATCTTTAGGTGATGAGTTTATTGGGCAGCCCGATGCATTAAGCTCCCACTATGCGCGGGGTCCTGGGAAGGGCCGGACCAGTATACGCAACTTTACCCTACATTTCTGCAAGAGATTGTTTTCGCAACTCAAACCCTTGACCTCCTGGTCACATAGAAGCAACTTTACCAGCTATGCTAAGGCTCCCCTTAGAAGTTAAATTATATATTATATGGCACTGTTGGTTTTTTATGAACTAAAATTTTCTCCCTTAAATACCTTAATCTTAGTTTGATGATAAAGTTCCAATCTTTTAAGTGTACACAAACACATAATTAAAGGCCCATATGTATCTCAGTAATGCCGATGCAAAATGCAACCACATATTTTGATCTTCTTCTAAATAGTTTAGCTGTTTGCAATGCTTCATTTTCTGAGTTTACAACAACAACAACAACAACAACCCAGTGAAATCCCACTAGTGGGGTCTGGGGAGGGTAGTGTGTACGCAGACCTTACCCCTACCCCGAAGGAATAGAGAGTCTGAGTTTCTATCATGAATTACATTTTTGTGACTGCAAATTTATTGCTTTATGTAGGCTTTTAGTTGGTCTCCCTTTTACATGGAGAAAAGTAACATAGCAGTGGAAGAAAATTCTCACACAAGTACTGATATCAATACATCTTTGTCGAAATCCTTGGGATCGCTCATACAAATTGAATCAATATCTATAGACCTTGATATTCCTATGCCGAAGAAAGAGGAAGGGAACTGTCCACATTTTTCAATACGGTAAGTCTTGATCTGTACAGTTTGCCTTCTTATTTCTTACATAAAGTTTCTGTTTTACCTTTCCTTTATGCTATCTTCAGTTGACTTCGTTTAGAAGCCGATTCTTTTGTGTTGATACCTGAAGTGTTTGGAAGTTTGTTGTTGCTATTGATGGTCACCTTTTGCTTACTGGATTACGGTGTTGGATTGACAAATAGATTATATGTCTGATAGCAGATATTGGTTGATAATTGTTTACTCGTACGCATAGGAGAGTGTGGAGAGTTTAGGCAAGATGTATAGCTGGCTTTACTATCTTTGGATTTTAGTGGGATGAATCGTGGCACATCACCTATGTACGGTCAAACTTTTGCTTTGTGGTTATCTCCTTCAAAAGATTTTCTTCCGATAATATTTTCTAGGCGCTGAATGTTACTACTATAGTTACAGTCTTAAGCCTTCTGAGGTCGAATAAAACCCAATAATCACTTGGGATGTTTTTCAATGAATAAACACTGCAGTCTTTCTAGCGAACTCCTATGTTCTTGACTACATTTCTTACATTGGACACAGTGGATATGCTGCTGAGATGAGAAAAAGGGATAGGAAAATTTGTTCTCCTTTTGCATCGACCAGTGATTGCAGTACTTCTGAGGAGCAACTTCCTCCTCTAGATGTTCCTAAATTTAGGTGGTGGCGATGCAAAAATTGCATAAACGAGATAGGCACAGAAAGTGCAGGAGAAGAGTGTGAGGTCCTTTCTTCAAGCTGCAGAAGTAGATTGAACTCCGAAAACATGGCTTCTACTAGTGCTATGGCAAATGTATTTCCAGAGACAAAGCAGGAGTTAACTTCACGAAAAACTGACAGAAACAAAGCTATTATATATGGTTCTCCCAATACCAGTAGTGGCTATAACTTCTTATGTAAACCAAACAAAGGAAGGTGCACTGTAGTTGAAGACAAAGCTATTGCAGCTGGTATATTCTTTAATAATTCATTTACTATGGCTCATATTTTGGATATTTTTTATTCATTTAGAACGATAATAATCTCTGCCTACGTGTTTATAATCCATATTGCTTTTCAGGCAACAGAACTGGTTCCGGAAATGTTAGAAATGAGGAGATCGGATATCCAAATATTGAGGTAGCAATATCTAAAGAACACTCAGGTCAAGAAATAGGTTCAAAGAGCCCAGGTAATTCAATAGCATTTTTTATATGCGTCAATATCATATGATCGTCAATTTTTACTTAACGAGAGCTCTTTTGGTTTCCAAAACAGCTGCTAATTATCTCTCAAACAGCAGAATACGAGTTGCAATCTCTGACTCAACCTTGGCAGGGGATAACATTGTTCATCATGGAAATCTCCACATAAGTGCTGATGATGTAAGTGCTGATATTAGTCCAGAGAAAGAAATGGGTTCTCCAAATGATGGACAGAGGAAAGCCTCAACGGCTTTCAAGCAATCTGATATACCAGGTAGCAACGGTAAAGCTCTTGAAACTAGTAAGACGAAACTAAGTAGGATACCTTCCCTTGAATTGAGAGATTATGATGAAACACCTTCAAGATGTGACATAATTTTGGCTGAAAAAACACTGTGTGATTTGCACCATGATATTCCAAATGATCTACCACGTCGGAAAACTCGAAAGGTACGTCTCTTGGCTGATATATTGGGTGGACAAGTCAATTTGGAGACTAGGCATGCCAAAGCAGAGCGTAGTTCATCGAGTACCACGCCCACGGTGCCTTCTGAGCAAGAAATAGTTGGTGCTTCTAAGTATAAGGGATCCTTTCAGAAGAAGAGGAAATTATCTCAAGAAGAAGACAGAAATCTATCGGAGATGGGCATACAATGTAACGTGGCTAAAAAGGTCAGGTCCTCTCATGGAGGAGCTGAGAGGAGTTCCATGGCAATCGAAAGTGATGATTTACGTTCAGATGAGAAGGAATCTGATGGAGAAGGTATACCGAGTGGTACCAAAAGTCTGCATATTAAGCATAGAAATGGAAAAAATAAAAAGAAAAACAAGCAGCTTCGACCTGTCGATGGATATTCTCCTGAAATGCCCTGGAAGGATACAACCATGGAAGATTGTGGTTCAAAGGGATATGGTGCTGCGAATAGCCTCGTTCATTCCGCGCAATGTTATCAGTCATTGGTAGGAACCGATAGAGACTCTGGTTTGTGTTGGAACAGTAGTAAGTTTCCTGAAGCTGGACGTGTTCCCTCAACTCTTATGCATCCAGACAATAATTCCCAGGGGGAAAGTTCAACCAGGAGGAAAAATCTCGTACTTGTGACACCTGATATGGAAATGGTGACCTCTCAGCCAGCGCATGAATTGTCTCATAAAGTAAGGCTAGACCTGTCTTTGAACAGCTTCAGAGACTCTGACAAATGTGCTGAGAATGATATTACCCAAAAAAGAAATATGACAACCTGGCCGTTCATTCTGCACAAGGGAAATAAGAGTAACGATCCTCGAGGGAAAGATAATACTCTTGTCGGACAGTCAAATGTGACTGATTCACAATCTTCAAGGAAAGGAGTGATTCATGACCTCAACCATGGAATTTTCCAGACATCATCAATGTGGCAAGGGATCCAAAACTCTCCAAATCTGCTTCAGAAGGGGAACCTTCATGTTCCCGATATAATGGTACTGGTTTATTTCCGTGTTTTACTTTGAGCCTCCCTTTTGTTTGCGATGATATAGTTTCCTCCCCCTCCCCTCCCCTCCATAATGTCCTGTGGGGTCGAAGAATCCAAATCAAATGGCTAAGAATGCATCTTCATTGAGTTGATACTTTTTGCAGTTCTTGAGTGTAGTTTTATATACCTAATACTACTTTGTTCAGAGATGATGGAAAAGCAAAAATACTGTTAATAAACAGCAATGATATCTTAAATAACGAGATTGATTGTTTTGATCCGACACATGGGATTGAAGGGAGTTGACAAGCTTTTGGAAAAAGCCAGCAGGATAACTGAGATCTGTTTTCTATTTCAAAATCTTGTTCTTGATAACTTAGAAGACTGCCATTTTGATGAAAGAACGTCATATTCACATTAGACAGCGACGCCCCTTTTTTCCGTTAAATTTCTTTTTATGTTCTTAAACTATGAAGTTACTTAAGTGACTAGCTGAATTTCCGATCCGAGTGCTAAGAGACAATATCATTACATGTTCTGATCTGGTCATGCTTATTCGTGCGAGCCTGAGTTTAGTTGGTATTGTTTTATATGCTTAATACTTCTCTATAGGTCCTTTAGGTGAAACAAATTTCAATCAGTGGACGTCTGACTTCTTGATTTATTATTTCTGTTTCATGAATGTTGTAGAGTAAGCCAATGCAACTTATTAGCACAAATTTTAAGGTAAGTGCTTGTAGTCAGTGAAGTCACAGAGATTTGCCTTTCAGGAAATGCCTCACCGGCGTAATGGAGCCACTCTTAATGAATTTGTAGAGCATTCAGATGTAGTTAAGCATCACAGAAATCAACGCTCTGAGAAGGCTTTAGAACGGGGGTTATCAGATGATATACCAATGGAAATTGTGGAGCTAATGGCGAAGAACCAGTACGAGAGGGGTCTTACTGAGACCAAAACCAAATGCATGATTGAAAGAACTGATGGTATTGCAAGGCCAAGTTCTGAGATATGTGACAGTGAAGCAGTGACATGGTCACGTCCTGGTTTAATTAGTTTCCATCCATCTAATGCAAATACAAAGACCGATGTTGGAGCAAGAAGCGGAAGCTCCCTCCAATTCTCTCATGTTAAGAGGAACCACCTCGGAATGGCCCAGGTTGAAAGACTGCCGGTCAACCTGTTTGGTACCTTTCCACAAACTCAACAGGAATTATCTAATGTAGGGCAAGGTTCTGCTTCCATGAACATCAGATCCGGTTTGCAGCATAGTGAGGAAGCAAACCCGGTATGGTTTTCAAATGTGCAGAACACACCATTAGGACTTGGAATTGCACAGAAATCCATTGGTCAGCCAAATGAAAAAATGATTCAGAAAGGGAGGACTATCAGCGACATAAAGAGTGGTGATGTGAGAATGCAGATTGAGCCTCATCTTCTTTTATCCAAATCAGGAGGCAATGCCGATTTGAACGTGAAAAATATGGGGTCTTTAGATCCTTATAATAATGAGACAATCCCAGCTATGCAGTTACTCAGCCTTATGGACCGAAGGATGCCCTCAAGTCCTCCTTTCAATCTGGATATAAACAAGCTCCGGGAGAAACCTTTTTCTCCATGCAGTTATCACCCGAGGTTTCAAATGGATGGTAAGCAGAGTATTCTCAACGGATCGTATTTATCACATCATCAGTTGAAGGAGTCTTCTGGGGTACACCCTGGTGGTTATCATGCAGGTTAGAGCTCTAGATAATCTTTTTGTTCCTTTATTGATTAAGATTCAACTTTCTTAGAATATTTTCATCTTCATTTCCGGTCATATCGTTCCATGTGTAAATGAAACATACTCTAATAAGCTGATTTTACAGATCAAATATCTTTCAAGTCTCGAGGACAAGAGAAATCAAGAAATTTTCATGCACCTCCGCGATGTGGTGGAAGCAAATCGGAGAGATTTGTATCTTCAAATGGCCTGCTAAGCATGAGTCGACATTCTTGTCCTGAGAAGGACGAGCAAAACAAAATCCTTGGCACATCAAGTTCTCAGGTGCTTCCACTGCAGGATCATAATGCTTCAAAATTCTCTGACTTGGAGGGCCACAGTAATGCTAGAGCTGTATTTCCAATCAACGGAAGTAACATCTGCAGCCTTAACCGAAACCCTGCTGAATTTAGTATTCCAGAAGAAGGGAACCCCTTCACTAGGAGTGTAAAGGATCCAAGAATTGGGAAGAAGATCTCATCAAGAGAGAGATCTCACATTGTTGATCTGAATAAGCGAAAGCAGCGGAGAATCACAAAGGAAAAAGAAGGGAGACTACTACCATTAGGCCGTGCATAGTGAGTTCCACAAATTGTCTATCTTTTTGCTGTGGAGACTCAATTCTGCTGAAAGCATACCTCCCAACTTATACTCGGGTATATGGTTAATGTTGGTTGGTTTCGCAGCATATATTTTCGCTTACAATACCAATTAAAGTTTTCAGGTAAATTAATCTATGATAATAAGAAATGTATCAAAATGTTCAGAAACTTTGAATAGAGTTATACTCTGGACATAAACTTGAACTGATTCAAGAAACCGGAGCTCTTGATTCCGGATCTTGATCCAGCTTGGAGGCATGGTGAATGTTAGATAACTTGTGTGTTGTTGTGCTTCTTTTGTATGTTGAACAGAGAAAACATGAGATAAAATCAGCTTTGCTCTTCAATATTAAAAGGGTACCTTCTATTTTCTGGTATATATTCTGTTCTATTTTAATCTTCATATAGTCGACTCTAACTAGTCCGAGACTTTAGTTCTACAGATGATGGAAGTGGCAAGCCTGAAACACTTTAATGGTGNATATATAGGGATAATTGCTTTGATCCCTTAATTATTGGTAAATTTTGATGAATCTGGATTAGTTCGTTACTAGGTTTCAGATACCATATGGTTAAACAAGAAAATACAAAAAAAAATGAAGGGACAAAGTATTTCTTTAAGGGTCAATTTGGACAAACTATAGTTAGATCATGTTATCGAGAGAATAAATTAAAAGTTTTCTGTACTTTGGAAATTATGTGGTTGTGCAGAGGGATTAAGTGGAACAAAATCCCACTGCTCCCAGTTACACTTGACTAACAGTAGCGGAGCAAGGATTTGAAGTTTATGAATTCGTAATTTGTACATATTTAATGGTTTACTTAAGACAAATATAGAATGTGGACTGAAACGAACCCCTTACCTGCACTCTTGCTCCGCCACTGTCAAGTGATATGTGTTAAGTAAATAATTTATATGGTCTACAATTACTACAAATGACTACTTGAAATTAGGTTTTTATTAATCTACTAAGGGGTTGTTCGGTACAATGGTGGGATATTCTATGAGGTGGGATATCCCATGGAATTAGTTATCTCACCTTCTATATGGGATAACTAATCCCACTATTTTAGCGGTCATTTTATTGAGAAATAAGTTATCTCATGATTAATTATCGGGGATTAGTTATCTTACCCTCCCATGGGAACAAAAGATACTACAATCCTGGGATTAGTCATAGCACAATTTTATCCCACCCAAACGTGGGATAAACGCATCTTAAATTTAATCCTGGGATTAATTATCCCTTATCCCTCGTATCAAACGAGTCCTTAGTATAAAAGTTATTCCGGTATTAGCTAATAACCCCAAACCAAACATGGAATAAAATTAATCTCAAACTTTATCCCGAGATTGTTATCCTTATCCCATGTACCAAACGACCCCATAAGTAGTATAAGACTTTTGAAATATTCATTTTTTTCATGATCTTGAGGTTTGTAAAAGGACAAGGAGAGGACTCAAAGGAATGTAGTAGAGCTAAATTTCACATATTCCCCGGGTGAATGTTACGTTAGGACCGAAAAAATTAGGTGTCATTCAGGAGCTAGTAAAACAAATTTTAAACGACGATAAATCATACAACTCACGAAGAGGCAAACATAAGTGACACTCTAACACTTGTTCCGTAAAGTTCTCCCCCTAAACACAACTCTCAAATCCCATATGGCTACATTGTTGATGCTACTGAATGAGAAGGAAGGATCCTCAATTTATAGAAGTCCAAACATTTTCCTACTAGAAAAAAGACTAGCCAAATATAGAAGATTTATAATTTTCTTTTACAAGAAAGAAAACTCAATTAAGGTAAATATGTTAGTCCTTTCCTTCAAGAGATAGGAAAATCAAATATTGTAAGAAAATCAGGACAACACCTAACATGTTACACTCTTTTATACGTACTGATGAGTTCTCACCAATCCTCCGGTCATACTCACAATTAGAGGTGAATTCAGTATTTAAGCTTTATAGATTTAATTTTAAAAAATTTAGTGTTGAATTTTAGTGATTTTTTACACATAATTTTGTGTTCCACAATGAAAAAACTAGGCTCAAATATACTTAGTATCGCAACGCTGCGTACGCCTCTGCACAAGATTTACTTTTATTTGTTAGGGACTGGTATGAAAATCGTATTACTAATTTCTATAAAAGTTTCACGGCGTGCCCTAATTTTACACATCCATTTATTAAGTACCAAATTTTTCAAAATTAATTAACTAGTACCCAATATTAACAAACGTCAAATCTGCTTCTTCCTCGACTTTTTATTTGGACTTATTACGACTTGGACTTCGCCCAAGTGGAAGAGAGACACAAATTATCTGAAGTTGCACTGTGAAGCAGTAGCGAAGCCAGAAATGTTTTTAAAGGTGTTTAGACTTGAAAAAAGTTTAAATAATTTTCCAACAAAGGGTGTTCAATATATGTTTTATACCTCTAACATCAATATTTTACTTATATATACAGTGTAAATTTTCGTAATATTTCGACGAAGGGACCACTCTTAGCAAAAATGGCTTCGCCCCTGCTGTTGCGGGCAAAACTTTAGATGCGAGAACTCCATGCGAACTTTAGACGTGGTTGTTTGAAGCTTACACTATCATGAGGGAGAACTTCAGACACGAACATTATCATACTTATACAGCTAGAAAGCAACTGCAGAAAGTACCTTCTGTACACGTGACAGTGCAGCAGACAGTGCAGCAGTCATTTCCCATTGGGAAGAGGCGTGTACCAACCATGAACCGACATCATCCTTGGGATGTCTTTCGTAGTATAACAATATGGTACAAGGCATAAGATATTGACTTGAGCATTTAGTGATATTCTCTCAAGCATTAAAGAGTTGATCCAGCATTGAAGTCACAAGTATGTCAAGAACAAGAAGACAACTCCACTAAGGATCAGTTCCACAATGAGCCTATGTGTATCCATAGTTGAGTTGTAATCTTGTTATTTGTTCTTTTTTGTAACTCCTATCTTGCTTTCTTAGAAGCTGTGTTTTAGGAAATCCAAAATCATAAACTTTCTAAGTTTATGTTGTGACTAAAGTTAGTTATAAGTTAAAGTCTTTGTAACTGGTGTGTGACAAAGTGGCTTGTGGTAAGTGTATCACAAGTTAGTTGAGTTGAAGTCTTTATAATAGAGTCATTACAAAGTGGCTTGTAATAGTGTGATTGCAAATTAGTGAAGTTGAAAGCCTACAAGTGTAGGTCGTGGTTTTTGTCCCTTTGAGTGAGATTTTTCCATGTAAAAGTCTTGTGTCTCATTTACTTACTACTTCATTAGTATTCTCAGTGGAAACTCATAGAGGACCAGGTACTTTATAATGTAGTGGATCCATATAAACTAACAATTGGTATCAGAGCAGGTTCTTTCTAAAAGGTTAACACCTAGAAAGGATCTCAATGGATGCTCCACCTAACTTTGAGGAAAGACAATCAACCTACAGACCTCCTAGATTCAATAGTCAGTACTACGGCTGGTGGAAGACTCGTATGCATGATTTTATAATGGCTAAAGACTCAGAATTGTGGGACATCATTTGTGATGGTCCACATGTTCCTATGAAGAAGTTTGGACAAACTAGACCAATGGTGCCGAAAAACAAAAAAGAGTACAATGATATTGACAGAAAAGTTGTAGAAAAGAACTATCGTACCAAGAAAATCTTGGTATGTGGTATAGGACCTGATGAGTACAACAGAATCTCAGCTTGTGATTCTGTCAAAGAAATATGGGAAACATTGCAAACAACACACGAAGGAACTACTCAGGTTAAACAGTCCAAGATTGACATGCTCACCGCTGAGTATGAGCTCTTCAGGATGAAGGATGATAAGTCTATACAAGATATGCACACTAGATTCACATCCATTATAAATGAGCTTCATTCACTTGGAGATGTTATTCCCAGAAACAAGCTTGTAAGGAAGATTCTTAGTGTTCTACCTGGCTCTTGGGAGAGTAAGGTGAATGTCATCACTGAAGCTAAAGATTTACAAACTCTAACCATGGATGAGCTGATTGGAAATCTAAAGACATACGAGATGAAAAAAAAAAGACACTGAAAGAAGAGAGCCAAATAAGGAAAAGAACCTGGTGCTCAAAGCTAAAAATAGTGACTCAAGTGAAGAAGATAGTGATATGGCATATCTTACTAAAAGGTTTCAAAAGATGGTTCGAAGGAATGACGGTTTACCAAAGAGGGGTAGTTCAAGTAAGGCAAGGAACAATGATCTCTATCACAAGTGCGGAAAGTCAGGGCATTTCATCAAAGACTGCCCACTTCTAAAACAGGAGCAATACAAGCAAAACCTTGACAAAGCAGCAAAAAGGAACTCGGTTCCTGACAAACGATTCAGTCGAAAAAGTGCAACTGACAATGTGGTGAAGCAAGCTCTTGCTGCTTGGGGAGACTCCTCCGGTGAATCAGAAGGGGAACCAGATGCAGAAAACAGCTCTATTGTGGCAGTGGAAACTAAAGCAATGAAATATGACTCACTGTTTGCACTGATGGCTCCGTCTGACGATGATGAAGAGGATGAAAATAATGAGGTAAATTTCAGGGATGTTCAGAGAAATCTGAAGTCTTACTCTTCTAAGAAATTAAGGTCATTAGAAAATGTTCTAATTGATGCATATTATAGTCTTATTAATGATAAGGAGATCTTGACCATAGAGCTAGGAGATGCTGAACAATCTAGAGACGATCTGGTGGTCTGTGTAGTTGATCTAAATGAGACCATAGCTAATTTTGAAAAAGAAAATGAAGCTTTGAATGAAAAAATAAATAGTGTAGAAAATGAGAGAGATGACTTGATGGTAGTGGTTGTTGATTTGAAGGAAACCATAGAGGGCTTTAGCAATGAAAAGCACACTTTAGAAGAGAAAATTGCAGCTACTGAGTATGAGAGGGATGACTTTTTAGTGATAATCACTGACCTAGAGGAAACTACTGAGGGACTCAAATCAGAACTTAGGCCTGCAAGTATTGAGAAAGGGAAAAAAGTAGCAGTGAGTCACATATCAAGCTTGAAAAAGAATTAACTGATGTTAAAACTAGTCTATGTGGTGAACTCGAGAAAAATAGGCAGCTTCAAGCTGAACTGAAGAAAGTAAAAACTGATCTTGAGAAATCTCTCAAGTGGACCTGGTCCTCAGATGTTGTTAATGCCATGTACTTTAACAATAGTGGAAACAGACAGGGAATCGGGTTTCAAAAGGAGAAAACTCCTTACAACCCTCACAGCAAGTATGTAACAGTTCTTGATAACTGGCTTTGTACCCACTGTGTGAACAAAGGGCACTTCAAAGAAAATTGCCAGGCCAGGGTTCAATCTGTTCAGAAAAACAAATTGTTT